AGAGAGAAGGGAGAGAGGGACTCGTTCCCTCAGAGGTTCATTCGAGGTCACTAGACTTTCTCAGCATTCTAAGTTGTTTGTGTTTTTCTAGACCCAGGACTGAGGCTGTAGACCCAGGACTGAGGCTGTAGACCCAGGACTGAGGCTGTAGACCCAGGACTGAGGCTGTAGACCCAGGACTGAGGCTGCAGACCCAGGACTGAGGCTGTAGACCCAGGACTGAGGCTGTAGACCCAGGACTGAGGCTGCAGACCCAGGACTGAGGCTGTAGACCCAGGACTGAGGCTGTAGACCCAGGACTGAGGCTGTAGACCCAGGACTGAGGCTGCAGACCCAGGACTGAGGCTTTCTCTTCGTGTCTGGGTTCAAGTTCACGTTCCTTGTTTCCTCTGACAGCTCCTGACTTCCCCCTCTCCCCCTCCAGGCCTTTATGCCAACCCCCCCCCCCCCCCCCCCCTGTCTTTGGAACAGCCTCAGTCCCAGGAGCTGTCATATGTCACTGTAGGATCATCCACAGATCTGCTCATTAGACACCATGAGACACCCTCTAGTCTCTCTCTCTCTGGTCTCTTTATGGTCTCTCTCTGTTGTCTCTCTCTGTTGTCTCTCTCTCCGGTCTCTCTCTCTCTCTGGTCTCTCTCTCTGGTCTCTCTCTGGTGTCTCTCTCTCTGGTCTCTCTCTCTCTCTGGTCTCCCTCTCTCTGGTCTCTCTCTCTCTGGTCTCCCTCCCTCTCTGGTCTCTCTCCCTCTGGTCTCTCTCTCTCTGGTCTCGCTCTCTCTGGTCTCTCTCCCTCTGGTCTCTCTCTCTCTGGTCTCCCTCCCTCTGGTCTCTCTCCCTCTGGTCTCTCTCTCTCTGGTCTCTCTCCCTCTGGTCTCCCTCCCTCTGGTCTCTCTCCCTCTGGTCTCTCTCCCTCTGGTCTCTCTCTCTCTGGTCTCCCTCCCTCTGGTCCCTCTCTCTCTGGTCTCCCTCCCTCTGGTCCCTCTCTCTCTGGTCTCTCTCCCTCTGGTCTCTCTCTCTGGTCTCTCTCTCTGGTCTCTCTCTCTTTGGTCTCTCTCTCTCTGGTCTCTCTCCCTCTGGTCTCTCTCTCTGGTCTCTCTCCCTCTGGTCTCTCTCCCTCTGGTCTCTCTCTCTGGTCTCTCTCTCCCTCTGGTCTCTCTCTCTGGTCTCTCTCTCTGGTCTCTCTCTCTCCCTCTGGTCTCTCTCTCTGGTCTCTCTCCCTCTGGTCTCTCTCCCTCTGGTCTCTCTCTCTGGTCTCTCTCCCTCTGGTCTCTCTCTCTGGTCTCTCTCTCTGGTCTCTCTCTCTTTGGTCTCTCTCTCTCTGGTCTCTCTCCCTCTGGTCTCTCTCTCTGGTCTCTCTCCCTCTGGTCTCTCTCTCTCTGGTCTCTCTCCCTCTGGTCTCTCTCTCTGGTCTCTCTCCCTCTGGTCTCTCTCCAGTGCTTCAGTCACAAAGGTGCCGAATTTAAGACTCCAGTCATAAATCTTACATGAGCATGAGGCGTTCAGGAGGCCTCTCTCTCCTCTCCCCCCTCAGCAGAGGTGGTGGCCTCTGAGTGGCCCCTGCTCTCATTCTAGAGTGGTGCATTCTGGGACGGCTGTAGAGAGGTGCATTCTGGGACGGTCTTTAGACAGGTGCATTCTGGGACGGGCTGTAGAGTAGTGCATTCTGGGACGGGCTGTAGAGTGGTGCATTCTGGGACGGGCTGTAGAGTGGTGCATTCTGGGACGGGCTGTAGAGTGGTGCATTCTGGGACGGGCTGTAGAGTGGTGCATTCTGGGACTGGCTGTAGAGAGGTGCATTCTGGGACGTCTGTAGAGAGGTGCATTCTGGGACGGGCTGTAGAGAGGTGCATTCTGGGACGTCTGTAGAGAGGTGCATTCTGGGACGGGCTGTAGAGAGGTGCATTCTGGGACGTCTGTAGAGAGGTGCATTCTGGGACGGGCTGTAGAGAGGTGCATTCTGGGACGTCTGTAGAGAGGTGCATTCTGGGACGGGCTGTAGAGAGGTGCATTCTGGGACGGCTGTAGTTTCATTGGACTACAAATGTTCTTTGAGTGTGTGATACGCAGACGATACGGCAGCGTTGTGCAGGTTTTATTCAAATGTGATGTGTGTAGTGGAAGTAGCAAAGACTGTAAACATAGACACACACACACACACACACAGAGAGACACTGACACACACAGCAACGCACACAGACACACAGAGACACACACACTGACACACACAGACTCACACAGACTCACACAGAGACACACACACACACTGACACGCACACACTGACACACACACACAGCAACGCACACAGACACACTGACACACACACACACACAACAACGCACACAGACACACTGACACGCACACAGCAACACACACACAGCAACGCACACAGACACACAGACGCACAGACAGACGCACACACGCACAGACAGACGCACGGACGCACAGACAGACAGACGCACAAACAGACAGACAGACGCACACACGCACAGACAGACAGACGCACAGACAGACACACACACGCACAGACACACGCACAGACAGACGCACAGACAGACACACAGACAGACGCACACACGCACAGACAGACGCACAGACACACGCACACACGCACAGACGCACACACGCACAGACAGACGCACACACGCACAGACAGACAGACAGATGCACACACGCACAGACAGATGCACACACGCACAGACAGACGCACACACGCACAGACAGACAGACAGATGCACAGACAGACAGACGCACAGACAGACACACACACGCACAGACACACGCACAGACACACGCACAGACAGACGCACAGACAGACGCACACACGCACAGACAGACAGACAGATGCACAGACAGACAGACGCACAGACAGACACACACGCACAGACAGACGCACAGACAGACGCACACACGCACAGACAGACAGACGCACAGACAGACACACACACGCACAGACAGACAGACGCACAGACAGACACACACACGCACAGACACACGCACAGACAGACGCACAGACAGACGCACACACGCACAGACAGACAGACGCACAGACAGACACACACACGCACAGACACACGCACAGACACACACAGACAGACGCACAGACACACGCACACACGCACAGACGCACACACGCACAGACAGACGCACACACGCACAGACAGACAGACAGATGCACACACGCACAGACAGACGCACACACGCACAGACAGACAGACAGATGCACAGACAGACAGACGCACAGACAGACACACACACGCACAGACACACGCACAGACAGACGCACAGACAGACGCACAGACGCACACACGCACAGACAGACGCACAGACAGACGCACACACGCACAGACAGACGCACACACGCACAGACAGACGCACAGACAGACAGACGCACAGACAGACGCACACACGCACAGACAGACAGACGCACAGACAGACACACACACGCACAGACACACGCACAGACAGACGCACAGACACACACAGACAGACGCACAGACACACGCACACACGCACACACGCACAGACAGACGCACACACGCACAGACAGACAGACAGATGCACACACGCACAGACAGACGCACACACGCACAGACAGACAGACAGATGCACAGACAGACAGACGCACAGACAGACACACACACACACGCACAGACACACGCACAGACAGACGCACAGACAGACGCACAGACGCACACACGCACAGACAGACGCACACACGCACAGACAGACGCACACACGCACAGACAGACGCACGGACGCACAGACAGACAGACGCACACACGCACAGACAGACGCACACACGCACAAACAGACAGACAGACGCACACACGCACAGACAGACAGACGCACAGACAGACACACACACGCACAGACACACGCACAGACAGACGCACAGACAGACGCACAGACGCACACACGCACAGACAGACGCACACACGCACAGACAGACGCACACACGCACAGACAGACGCACGGACGCACAGACAGACAGACGCACACACACGCACAGACAGACGCACACACGCACAAACAGACAGACAGACGCACACACGCACAGACAGACAGACGCACAGACAGACACACACACGCACAGACACACGCACAGACAGACGCACAGACAGACACACAGACAGACGCACACACGCACAGACAGACGCACAGACACACGCACACACGCACACACGCACACACGCACAGACAGACGCACAGACAGACAGACAGATGCACACACGCACAGACAGACGCACACACGCACAGACAGACAGACAGATGCACAGACAGACAGACGCACAGACAGACACACACACGCACAGACACACGCACAGACACACGCACAGACAGACGCACAGACAGACGCACACACGCACAGACAGACAGACAGATGCACAGACAGACAGACGCACAGACGGACGCACAGACAGACAGACGCACACACGCACAGACAGACGCACACACGCACAAACAGACAGACAGACGCACACACGCACAGACAGACAGACGCACACACGCACAGACAGACGCACATACAGACGCACACACAGACGCACACACGCACATACAGACGCACATACACACGCACATACAGACGCACACACGCACATACAGACGCACACACGCACATACAGACGCACACACGCACAGACGGACGCACACACGCACAGACAGACAGACAGACACACAGACAGACAGACGCACAGACAGACGCACACACGCACAGACAGACGCACACACGCACAGACAGACAGACAGACGCACAGACGGACGCACACACGCACAGACAGACAGACAGACACACAGACAGACAGACGCACACACGCACAGACAGACGCACACACGCACAGACAGACAGACAGACACGCACAGACACACTCATAGACACGCACAGACACTCACAGACACACGCACACACACTCACAGACACACACACACACACAGACATACTCATAGACACGCACACACTCTCACAGACACACACACACTCACTGTGTTGTGTGTCCAGGAGGAGACGCTGGTGTATAGTTCTCTGAGTGTGATCCCAGATGCAGAGTACTCCTTCACCACAGTGTTCCAGGACCACCAATACCAGGTAACCATCAATCAGCCAACTCCAGCCGCTATACAAGCACCATCTCCACACAAGGCTTCATGGTAGCGTGTCAGCAGTCTCTGGTGTTTTGCTTGTTCCACAACTCTTTGTGTACCCAGGTCTACATGGTGCTGCGGCCACATGTCAAGGAGTTTCTCCAGGCAGTGTCCAGAAACTATGAGGTACTCTCTCTCTCTGGTCTCTCTCTGGTCTCTCTCTGGTCTCTCTCTCTGGTCTCTCTCTGGTCTCTCTCTGGTCTCTCTCTCTGGTCTCTCTCTGGTCTCTCTCTGGTCTCTCTCTCTGGTCTCTCTCTGGTCTCTCTCTCTGGTCTCTCTCTGGTCTCTCTCTCTGGTCTCTCTCTCTGGTCTCTCTCTCTGGTCTCTCTCTCTGGTCTCTCTCTGGTCTCTCTCTGGACTCTCTCTCTGGTCTCTCTCTGGTCTCTCTCTCTGGTCTCTCTCTGGACTCTCTCTCTGGTCTCTCTCTGGTCTCTCTCTGGTCTCTCTCTGGTCTCTCTCTCTGGTCTCTCTGGTCTCTCTCTGGTCTCTCTCTGGTCTCTCTCTGGTCTCTCTCTGGTCTCTCTCTGGTCTCTCTCTGGTCTCTCTCTCTCTCTCTGGTCTCTCTCTCTCTCTCTGGTCTCTCTCTGCTCTCTCTCTGTCTCTCTCTCTGGTCTCTCTCTCAGGTCCCTCTCTGGTCTCTCTCTCTCTCTCTCTGGTCTCTCTCTGCTCTCTCTCTGGTCTCTCTCTGGTCTCTCTCTCAGGTCCCTCTCTGCTCTCTCTCTGCTCTCTCTCTGGTCTCTCTCTCTGGTCTCTCTCTGGTCTCTCTCTGGTCTCTCTCTGCTCTCTCTCTGGTCTCTCTCTGGTCTCTCTCTGCTCTCTCTCTGGTCTCTCTCTGGTCTCTCTCTCTGGTCTCTCTCTCTGGTCTCTCTCTAGTCTCTCTCTGGTCTCTCTCTGGTCCCTCTCTGGTCTCTCTCTGGTCTCTCTCTCTGGTCTCTCTCTGGTCTCTCTCTGGTCTCTCTCTGGTCTCTCTCTGGTCTCTCTCTGGTCTCTCTCTCTGGTCTCTCTCTGGTCTCTCTCTCTGGTCTCTCTCTCTGGTCTCTCTCTGGTCTCTCTCTGGTCTCTCTCTGGTCTCTCTCTGGTCTCTCTCTCTGGTCTCTCTCTCTGGTCTCTCTCTGGTCTCTCTCTCTGGTCTCTCTCTGGTCTCTCTCTGGTCTCTCTCTGGTCTCTCTCTGGTCTCTCTCTCTCTGATCTCTCTCTGGTCTCTCTCTGGTCTCTCTGTGGTCTCTCTCTGGTCTATCTGGTCTCTCTGGTCCCTGACCTCTGACCTCTGACCCCTGACCCTGTGTTCCAGCTCTTTGTGTTCACCTGTTCTAAGAGAGTTTATGCAGAGAAGGTTCTGGACGTTCTGGATCCGCACAAGAAACTCTTCAGGTGAGTCTCAGAACCACAAGGTTCCCCTCGTCTGAGTCTGACTCTGTCCTCCTCCTCCCTCCCTCTCCTCCCTCCCTCTCCTCCCTCACCCTCTCTCCCCCTCCCTCTCCTCCTCCTCCCTCTCCTCCTCCTCCTCCCTCTCCTCCTCCTCCCTCTCCTCCTCCTCATCTTCCTCCTCCTCCTCCTCCCTCTCCTCCTCCCCCTCCCTCCTCCTCCTCCCTCTCCTCCTCCTCCCTCCTCCTCCTCCTCCCTCCCTCTCCTCCTCCCCCTCCCTCCTCCTCCTCCCTATCCTCCTCCTCCCTCCTCCTCCTCCTCCTCCTCCCTCCCCTCCTCCCCCCTCCTCTCCTCCTCCCTTCCTCTCCTCCTCCCTCTCCTCCTCCTCCTCCTCCCTCTCCTCCTCCCCTCCCTCTCCTCCTCCTCCTCCTCCTCCCTCTCCTCCTCCTCCTCCTCCCCTCCTCCTCCTCCTCCCTATCCTCCTCCTCCCTCCTCCTCCCTCCTCCTCCTCCTCCTCCTCCCTCCTCCTCCTCCCCCTCCCTCTCCTCCTCCCTCTCCTCCTCCCTCTCCTCCTCCTCCTCCCTCCTCCTCCTCCTCCTCCTCCTCCCCCTCCTCCTCCTCCTCCCTCTCCTCCTCCCCCTCCCTCTCCTCCTCTCCTATCCTCCTCCTCCCTCCTCCTCCTCCTCCTCCTCCCTCTCCTCCTCCCCCTCCCTCTCCTCCTCCCTATCCTCCTCCTCCCTCTCCTCCTCCTCCTCCCTCTCCTCCCTCTCCTCCTCCCCCTCTCCTCCTCCTCCCCTCCTCCTCCTCCTCCTCCTCTCCTCCTCCTCCTCCTCCTCTCTCAGACACAGGCTGTACCAAGAGGACTGCTCCTGTGTCCTGGGACACTACATCAAAGACCTGCGAGTCCTGGGACGAGACCTGAGAACAACTGTGGTGTTAGACAACTCTCTCCACACACATACCCCCACCATGTAAGACACACACACACACACACATACCCCCACCATGTAAGACACACACACACACACACATACCCCCACCATGTAAGACACACACACACACACACATACCCCCACCATGTAAGACACACACACACACACACATACCCCCACCATGTAAGACACACACACACACACACATACCCCCACCATGTAAGACACACACACACACACACATACCCCCACCATGTAAGACACACACACACACACACATACCCCCACCATGTAAGAACAACACACACACACAACCCCACCATGTAAGACACACACACACACACACATACCCCCACCATGTAAGACACACACACACACACACATACCCCCACCATGTAAGACACACACACACACACACATACCCCCACCATGTAAGACACACACACACACACACATACCCCCACCATGTAAGACACACACACACACACACATACCCCCACCATGTAAGACACACACACACACACACACAACACACACACACACCCCCACCATGTAAGACACACACACACACACACACACACACCCCCACCATGTAAGACACACACACACACACACATACCCCATGTAAACACACACACACACACACACATGTAAGACACACACACACACACACACACACATCATGTAAGACACACACACATCATGTAAGACACACACACACACACACACACATCATGTAAGCACACACACACACACATCACACCACCACCATGTAAGACACACACACACACACATCACACACATCATGTAAGACACACACACACACACACACACATCATGTAAGACACACACACACACACACACATACCCCCACCATGTAAGCACACACACACACACACACACACATCATGTAAGACACACACACACATACCCCCACCATGTAAGACACACACACACACACACACATCATGTAAGACACACACACACATACCCCCACCATGTAAGACACACACACACACACACACATCATGTAAGACACACACACACATACCCCCACCATGTAAGACACACACACACACACACACACACACACATCATGTAAGACACACACACATCATGTAAGACACACACACACACACACACATCATGTAAGACACACACACACACACACACATCATGTAAGACACACACACATCATGTAAGACATACACACACACACACACACACATCATGTAAGACACACACACACACACACACATCATGTAAGACACACACACACACACACACACACATCATCATGTAAGACACACACACATCATGTAAGACACACACACACACACACACATCATGTAAGACACACACACATCATGTAAGACACACACACACACACACACACACACATCATGTAAGACACACACACACACACACACATCATGTAAGACACACACACACACACACACACATCATGTAACACACACACACACACACACACATCATGTAAGACACACACACACACACACATCATGTAAGACACACACACACACACACACACATCATGTAACACACACACACATCATGTAAGACACACACACATGTAACACACACACACATCATGTAAGACACACACACACACACACACATCATGTAAGACACACACACATCATGTAAGACACACACACATCATGTAAGAACACACACACACATCATGTAAGACACACACACACACACACACATCATGTAAGACACACACACACACACATCATGTAAGACACACACACACACATCATGTAAGACACACACACACACATCATGTAAGACACACACACACACACATCATGTAAGACACACACACACACACACATCATGTAAGACACACACACACACACATCATGTAAGACACACACACACACACACATCATGTAAGACACACACACACACACATCATGTAAGAACACACACACACACACATCATGTAAGACACACACACACACACATCATGTAAGACACACACACACACACATCATGTAAGACACACACACACACATCATGTAAGACACACACACACACACATCATGTAAGACACACACACACACACATCATGTAAGACACACACACACACACATCATGTAAGACACACACACACACACACACATCATGTAAGACACACACACACACACATCATGTAAGACACACACACACACACACATCATGTAAGACACACACACACACACATCATGTAAGACACACACACATCATGTAAGACACACACACACACACATCATGTAAGACACACACACACACACATCATGTAAGACACACACACACACATCATGTAAGACACACACACATCATGTAAGACACACACACACACACATCATGTAAGACACACACCCCTGGCAGTTACCATAGTCACCCTGGCGGTTACCATAGTCACCCTGGCGGTTACCATAGTCACCCTGGCGGTTACCATAGTCACCCTGGCGGTTACCATAGTCACCCTGGCGGTTACCATAGTCACCCTGGCGGTTATCATAGTCACCCTGGCGGTTACCATAGTCACCCTGGCGGTTACCATAGTCACCCTGGCGGTTACCATAGTCACCCTGGCGGTTACCATAGTCACCCTGGCGGTTACCATAGTCACCCTGGCGGTTACCATAGTCACCCTGGCGGTTACCATAGTCACCCTGGCGGTTACCATAGTCACCCCGGCGGTTACCATAGTCACCTTGGCGGTTACCATAGTCACCCTGGCGGTTACCATAGTCACCCTGGCGGTTACCATAGTCACCCTGGCGGTTACCATAGTCACCCTGGCGGTTACCATAGTCACCCTGGCGGTTATCATAGTCACCCTGGCGGTTACCATAGTCACCCTGGCGGTTACCATAGTCACCCTGGCGGTTACCATAGTCACCCTGGCGGTTACCATAGTCACCCTGGCGGTTACCATAGTCACACCCTGGCGGTTACCATAGTCACCCTGGCGGTTACCATAGTCACCCTGGCGGTTACCATAGTCACCCCGGCGGTTACCATAGTCACCTTGGCGGTTACCATAGTCACCCTGGCGGTTACCATAGTCACCCCGGCGGTTACCATAGTCACCCCGGCGGTTACCATAGTCACCCCGGCGGTTACCATAGTCACCCCGGCGGTTACCATAGTCACCCCGGCGGTTACCATAGTCACCCTGGCGGTTACCATAGTCACCCTGGCGGTTACCATAGTCACCCTGGCGGTTACCATAGTCACCCTGGCGGTTACCATAGTAGTCACCCTGGCGGTTACCATAGTCACCCTGGCGGTTACCATAGTCACCCTGGCGGTTACCATAGTTACCCTGGTGGTTATCATAGTCACCCTGGCGGTTACCATAGTCACCCTGGCGGTTACCATAGTCACCCTGGCGGTTACCATAGTAGTCACCCTGGCGGTTACCATAGTCACCCTGGCGGTTACCATAGTCACCCTGGCGGTTACCATAGTTACCCTGGTGGTTATCATAGTCACTCTGCTAAAGACACATAGATTAAGTGTCATTTATTTATTTGATAGGGACAATGCACATTAATGAACATCAGTATAGAACAAATGTAAATATGCCGGATTATAGCTACAAAGCTAGTTTTCATCCGTAGTCCCTAGGCAGGAAAACACATGACAAAATACAATACAATGGCGCCGTGGCAAGAGCTCTGGTGTGTGTCGTCTTCTCTGTCTGGTGCACACCGGGGTAGTCTTGCACAGTTTTTCCAATGTGGTTTTACTGCAAATGGCAAATAAATGAATCTGAATCTGAATGAAAATGTATTATGTTTGCAGCTGATGAACACCGTCCCCATTAAAAGCTGGAGCGGAGAAGCAGACGACAGAGAACTGCTGCGGCTCATCCCATATATGGACAAACTCTGCTCTGCGGTGAGGAGGGGGGGGCGCAACCACAACGAGTGACTTCAAAAGTCCACAGCGACTTAACTAGACTGGTCCAAAACATTCACTCCCCTCAGACAGCATCAGGTGCTACAGCATCAGGTGCTAAAGCATCAGGTCCTACAGCATCAGGTGCTACAGCATCAGGTGCTACAGCATCAGGTGCTACAGCATCAGGTGCTGAAGCATCAGGTGCTACAGCATCAGGTGCTACAGCATCAGGTGCTACAGCATCAGGTGCTACAGCATCAGGTGCTGAAGCATCAGGTCCTACAGCATCAGGTCCTACAACATCAGGTGCTACAGCATCAGGTGCTAAAGCATCAGGTCCTACAGCATCAGGTGCTACAGCATCAGGTGCTACAGCATCAGGTGCTACAGCATCAGGTGCTACAGCATCAGGTGCTACAGCATCAGGTGCTACAGCATCAGGTGCTGAAGCATCAGGTGCTACAGCATCAGGTGCTACAGCATCAGGTGCTACAGCATCAGGTGCTGAAGCATCAGGTGCTACAGCATCAGGTGCTACAGCATCAGGTGCTACAGCATCAGGTGCTACAGCATCAGGTGCTACAGCATCAGGTGCTGAAGCATCAGGTCCTACAGCATCAGGTCCTACAACATCAGGTGCTACAGCATCAGGTCCTACAGCATCAGGTGCTACAGCATCAGGTGCTACAGCATCAGGTCCTACAGCATCAGGTGCTACAGCATCAGGTGCTACAGCATCAGGTGCTACAGCATCAGGTGCTACAGCATCAGGTGCTACAGCATCAGGTGCTGAAGCATCAGGTCCTACAGCATCAGGTCCTACAACATCAGGTGCTACAGCATCAGGTGCTACAGCATCAGGTCCTACAGCATCAGGTGCTACAGCATCAGGTGCTACAGCATCAGGTGCTACAGCATCAGGTGCTACAGCATCAGGTGCTACAGCATCAGGTGCTGAAGCATCAGGTGCTACAGCATCAGGTGCTACAGCATCAGGTGCTACAGCATCAGGTGCTGAAGCATCAGGTGCTACAGCATCAGGTGCTACAGCATCAGGTGCTACAGCATCAGGTGCTGAAGCATCAGGTCCTACAGCATCAGGTCCTACAACATCAGGTGCTACAGCATCAGGTCCTACAGCATCAGGTCCTACAACATCAGGTGCTACAGCATCAGGTGCTACAGCATCAGGTGCTGAAGCATCAGGTGCTGAAGCATCAGGTCCTACAGCATCAGGTGCTACAGCATCAGGTGCTACAGCATCAGGTGCTACAGCATCAGGTGCTGAAGCATCAGGTCCTACAGCATCAGGTCCTACAGCATCAGGTGCTACAGCATCAGGTCCTACAACATCAGGTCCTACAACATCAGGTGCTACAGCATCAGGTGCTACAGCATCAGGTCCTACAACATCAGGTCCTACAACATCAGGTCCTACAACATCAGGTGCTACAGCATCAGGTGCTACAGCATCAGGTGCTACAGCATCAGGTCCTACAGCATCAGGTGCTACAGCATCAGGTCCTACAGCATCAGGTCCTACAACATCAGGTCCTACAACATCAGGTCCTACAACATCAGGTGCTACAGCATCAGGTGCTACAGCATCAGGTCCTACAACATCAGGTCCTACAACATCAGGTCCTACAGCATCAGGTGCTACAGCATCAGGTGCTACAGCATCAGGTGCTACAGCATCAGGTCCTACAGCATCAGGTGCTACAACATCAGGTCCTACAGCATCAGGTCTTACAGCATCAGGTGCTACAGCATCAGGTCCTACAACATCAGGTCCTACAACATCAGGTCCTACAGCATCAGGTGCTACAGCATCAGGTCCTACAGCATCAGGTCCTACAACATCAGGTGCTACAGCATCAGGTGCTGAAGCATCAGGTCCTACAGCATCAGGTGCTACAGCATCAGGTGCTACAGCATCAGGTGCTACAGCATCAGTAAAGCATCAGGTGCTACAGCATCAGGTGCTGAAGCATCAGGTCCTACAGCATTAGTAAAGCATCAGGTGCTACAGCATCAGGTGCTGAAGCATCAGGTGCTGAAGCATCAGGTCCTACAGCATCAGGTCCTACAGCATCAGGTCCTACAGCATCAAGTGCTACAGCATCAGGTCCTACAGCATCAGTAAAGCATCAGGTGCTACAGCATCAGGTGCTACAGCATCAGGTGCTACAGCATCAGGTGCTACAGCATCAGGTCCTACAGCATCAGATGCTACCGCATCAGGTGCTACAGCATCAGGTCCTACAGCATCAGGTGCTACAGCATGAGGTGCTACAGCATCAGGTCCTACAGCATCAGGTGCTATAGCATCAGGTCCTACAGCATCAGGTGCTATAGCATCAGGTCCTACAGCATCAGGTGCTACAGCATCAGGTGCTACAGCATCAGGTGCTACAGCATCAGGTGCTACAGCATCAGGTCCTACAGCATCAGTAAAGCATCAGGTGCTACAGCATCAGGTCCTACAGCATCAGTAAAGCATCAGGTGCTACAGCATCAGGTGCTACAGCATCAGGTCCTACAGCATCAGGTCCTACAGCATCAGGTCCTACAGCATCAGTAAAGCATCAGGTGCTACAGCCTCAGGTGCTAAAGCATCAGGTCCTACAGCATCAGGTCCTACAGCATCAGGTCTTACAGCATCAGGTGCTACAGCATCAGGTCCTACAGCATCAGGTCCTACAGCATCAGGTCCTACAGAATCAGGTGCTACAGCATCAGGTGCTACAGCATCAGGTGCTACAGCATCAGGTCCTACAGCATCAGGTGCTACAGCATCAGGTGCTACAGCATCAGGTGCTAAAGCATCAGGTGCTAAAGCATCAGGTGCTAAAGCATCAGGTCCTACAGCATCAGGTGCTACAGCATCAGGTGCTACAGCATCAGGTGCTACAGCATCAGGTGCTACAGCATCAGGTGCTAAAGCATCAGGTCTTACAGCATCAGGTCCTACAGCATCAGGTCCTACAGCATCAGGTGCTACAGCATCAGGTGCTACAGCATCAGGTGCTACAGCATCAGGTGCTACAGCATCAGGTGCTACAGCATCAGGTCCTACAGCATCAGGTGCTACAGCATCAGGTGCTACAGCATCAGGTGCTACAGCATCAGGTGCTACAGCATCAGGTGCTACAGCATCAGGTGCTACAGCATCAGGTGCTACAGCATCAGGTCCTACAGCATCAGGTGCTACAGCATCAGGTCCTACAGCATCAGGTGCTACAGCATCAGGTGCTACAGCATCAGGTGCTACAGCATCAGGTGCTACAGCATCAGGTGCTACAGCATCAGGTGCTACAGCATCAGGTGCTACAGCATCAGGTGCTACAGCATCAGGTGCTAAAGCATCAGGTCCTACAGCATCAGGTCCTACAGCATCAGGTCCTACAGCATCAGGTGCTACAGCATCAGGTGCTACAGCATCAGGTGCTACAGCATCAGGTGCTACAGCATCAGGTGCTACAGCATCAGGTCCTACAGCATCAGGTCCTACAGCATCAGGTGCTACAGCATCAGGTGCTACAGCATCAGGTGCTACAGCATCAGGTGCTACAGCATCAGGTGCTACAGCATCAGGTGCTACAGCATCAGGTCCTACAGCATCAGGTGCTACAGCATCAGGTCCTACAGCATCAGGTCCTACAGCATCAGGTGCTACAGCATCAGGTGCTAAAGCATCAGGTCCTACAGCATCAGGTCCTACAGCATCAGGTCCTACAGCATCAGGTCCTACAGCATCAGGTGCTACAGCATCAGGTGCTACAGCATCAGGTCCTACAGCATCAGGTGCTACAGCATCAGGTCCTACAGCATCAGGTCCTACAGCATCAGGTGCTACAGCATCAGGTGCTACAGCATCAGGTGCTACAGCATCAGGTGCTACAGCATCAGGTGCTACAGCATCAGGTGCTACAGCATCAGGTCCTACAGCATCAGGTGCTACAGCATCAGGTGCTAAAGCATCAGGTCCTACAGCATCAGGTCCTACAGCATCAGGTCCTACAGCATCAGGTCCTACAGCATCAGGTCCTACAGCATCAGGTGCTACAGCATCAGGTGCTACAGCATCAGGTGCTACAGCATCAGGTCCTAAAGCATCAGGTCCTACAGCATCAGGTCCTACAGCATCAGGTCCTACAGCATCAGGTCCTACAGCATCAGGTCCTACAGCATCAGGTGCTACAGCATCAGGTGCTACAGCATCAGGTCCTACAGCATCAGGTGCTACAACAGAAGGATTATTTATTTACCCAGCCATGGAGTCACAATGTGTTGTTATTACATCCACATGTTTAATGAACTTTCAGGGATGAGTCGGTGTTTTAGATAAACACTGTGAATGTTTGACCTGAAAAGAACACAGACCATAGACTGTATATATTAACCATAGACTGTATATATTAACCATAGACTGTATATATTAACCATAGACTGTATATATTAACCATAGACTGTATATATTAACCATAGACTGTATATATTAACCATAGACTGTATATATTAACCATAGACTGTATATATTAACCATAGACTGTATATATTAACCATAGACTGTATATATTAACGGACAGAGTCACGCCTATCTCCGCCGTTCTAACTAATGGGCCAAGAAATGTGCTCTACTGGAGAAATCCAAAATGGCCGCGAGTGGTCCCGCCCACAAGAAAATTGTGAAAAAACACATCTGTGCATGCGTCAGCCGGAGAGAGCTCCATTCATTTAAACGAGAGACTTCTAAAGTCCACAGCGACTAAACTAGAGTGGACCAGAACACTCAGCATTGACACACATGTGGAACGGAGCTTTGGGCCAAGAGACAACTTTTGGTCCATCCTGTAAAGACGTTTTTGAGAGGTCTGCTAATGCTATATGTTAGCATTGGCTAATTCTACTTCTGGGTCCACCCCCACAGGCCCGGGGTGGTATTGCAGCATGTCAGCGCACGTCATTTTGAACACTTTTGAGCTGGGACCCTCCCACACTGCCACAGACGCAGTGTTTTATTGAGAATGACAAGTTCATTCACCGATCGTTACTTACACGGCTCTTTACGATGCAGGATTTGTCCTTCAGGACCTCAACTTTGAGTTCTTAAACCCACAGACGGAAAAGTTGCAGCATCCGTGTTTTTCCAAACCTTCATTTGTTTAGCAGTGCTAAAGCTTGATTGTAACACTAGCTGTGGATTAGAATCTAAAGTGAATAAAGACAGTCTAGGATTTGTTTTATTCTAGGATGTTTTATTGTCGATGGTAGAGGCATAAACACAGACGTTACAGAATGTAAGTGACATACAGCGGAGGAATGGAGACTTATTAGCATTATTAGCATGTTAGCATTTGTCGCGGTGCCCTAACCCTTACCAAAACATGTAGTGGAAAAATTCTGCCTTGTGCATATTGTTAGAATGATGAGTTAGAACGTTCACCACAGTAGCTTCAAAGTGTCATGAAATATCCAGAAAAGCAAAAAAAACTAGGAAGAGTCGCATTTTCTTCATATCAGCAGCAACTCCTGCTGGCCTGACACCACTCCGTCAACGGGAAGTTTATGCGTCACGTGACTGCAAGCAAGCAATAGACACCTGTAAATACTTACGAACCAAGTGCAATTATAGCCCAGAGTTTATATTATTTTATTTTATTTTAATCTTAATTTTATTGTCTATTATCTTAAATAATAGACTCAATTTGATGTGTGCAATCTGACACTGTGAGACGAATAAAGGTTTATATTATCTTTATCTTATTATCAAAGCATCTTCAGCTGAACTAGGCTCTGTGTGACTCTGCAGGAGGACTTCAGGGAGGTGCTGAAGAAGAGGAAGGACCACTTCCACCGGCTGCTGTCGGAGGACTAGACCATCTGGACCCTCTCTGGACCCTCTCTGGACCCTCTCTGGACCGGTCTCCTCAGTTAATAACTTATTGGTTTCACAGACCTGTGAATGTCACATGTTTTAAATGAAATAAAGAGTTCATTGCTCTCGGTTTATTTTGTGGATTTGACTTAAATGTTAAAGGACCAATCAGAGGCCTGCATTCTGGGCTCACGGTCCTTCTGTCTCCATGGAGACCGAGGTACCTCAGTCCCTGTTGATGGTCCTCAGTCCCTGTTGATGGTCCTCAGTCCCTGTCGTGCAAACGTTGCTATTTTCAAAATCCAAGAAAATCATGAATGTTTTAATATCCATTTTATCCAATCCAGGACGGTCTCGGTCCAGGACGGTCTCGGTCCAGGACGGTCTCGGTCCAGGACGGTCTCGGTCCAGGACTGTCTCGGTCCAGTGAGGGTCAGAGTGAGGGGGTGAAATTCAGTGTTGTGCGTGAACCACTTCAAAAGAACGCGTTCATTGAACACGCTCATTTTTTTGTGAACGTTGAACTGAACACAACACATTTTTTAATAAAGAACTTGAACGTGAATTAGTTCACATTATGTGTCATGAACGACAGAAATCTGTTTTCTCTTTTGAAACGCAACGAGAGATAGTTCCTCCTTCCTGTATCTCCGCAAATTTTCCACCGAAAACTAAAATTTCCCACTGTTTCCACCGTCTGAACGTACCCCGACTCCTTGTTGTGGTCCGCCGCTGTGAGCTCGTGCTTTTCATGGGTGTTGTACAGTGCCTTGCGAAAGTATTTGCCCCCCTTGAACCTTTCGCCACATTTCAGGCTTCAAACATAAATATATGAAAAATAATTTTTTGTCATGAATCAACAACAAGTGGGACACAATCGTGAAGTGGAACGAAATTTATTGGATAATTTAAACTTCTTTAACAAATAAAAAACTGAAAAGTGGGGCGTGCAATATTATTCGGCCCCCTTGCGCTAATACTTTGTAGCGCCACCTTTTGCTGCAATTACAGCTGAAAGTTTCTTGGGGTATGTCTCTATCAGTTTTGCACATCGAGAGACTGGAATTCTTGCCCATTCTTCCTTGCAAAACAGCTGGAGCTCAGTGAGGTTGGATGGAGAGCGTTTGTGAACAGCAGTCTTCAGCTCTTTCCACAGATTCTCGATTGGATTCAGGTCTGGACTTTGACTTGGCCATTCTAACACCTGGATACGTCTATTTGTGAACCATTCCATTGTAGATTTGGCTTTATGTTTTGGATCATTGTCCTGTTGGAAGATAAATCTCCGTCCCAGTCTCAGGTCTTTTGCAGACTCCAACAGGTTTTCTTCCAGAATGGTCCTGTATTTGGCTCCATCCATCTTCCCATCAATGTTAGCCATCTTCCCTGTCCCTGCTGAAGAAAAGCAGGCCCAAAGCATGATGCTGCCACCACCATGTTTGACAGTGGGGATGGTGTGTTCAGGGTGATGAGCTGTGTTGCTTTTACGCCAAACATATCGTTTTGCATTGTGGCCAAAAAGTTTGATTTTGGTTTCATCTGACCAGAGCACCTTCTTCCACATGTTTGGTGTGTCTCCCAGGTGGCTTGTGGCAAACTTTAAACCAGACTTTTTATGGATATCTTTGAGAAATGGCTTTCTTCTTGCCACTCTTCCATAAAGGCCAGATTTGTGCAGTGCACGACTGATTGTTGTCCTATGGACAGACTCTCCCACCTCAGCTGTAGTTATCTGCAGTTCATCCAGAGTGATCATGGGCCTCTTGGCTGCATCTCTGATCAGTCTTCTCCTTGTTTGAGATGAAAGTTTGGAGGGACGGCCGGGTCTTGGTAGATTTGCAGTGGTCTGATACTCCTTCCATTTCAATATAATTGCTTGCACGGTGCTCCTTGAGATGTTTAAAGCTTGGGAAATCTTTTTGTATCCAAATCCGGCTATAAACTTCTCCACAACAGTATCTCGGACCTGCCTGGTGTGTTCCTTTGTCTTCATGGTTCTCTCTGCGCTTTAAACAGAACCCTGAGACTATCAAAGAGCAGGTGCATTTATACGGAGACTTGATTACACACAGGAGCATTCTATTTATCATCATCAGTCATTTAGGACAACATTGGATCATTCAAAGATCCTCACTGAACTTCTGGACTGAGTTTGCTGCACTGAAAGTAAAGGGGCCCAATAATATTGCACGCCCCACTTTTCAGTTTTTTATTTGTTAAAAAAGTTTAAATTATCCAATAAATTTCGTTCCACTTCACGATTGTGTCCCACTTGTTGTTGATTCATGACAAAAATTTAAAATGTTATATCTTTATGTTTGAAGCCTGAAATGTGGCGAAATGTTGAAAGGTTGAAAGGGGTCGAATATTTTCGCAAGGCACTGTATGTGCCCGTGTGATGAAAACAGGGTGAGTCAGCGACACAAGGCCGTTTACATTTGACATAAAGTATAGACACACGCAGCGCATTACTGTCAGTACTTATGAGCAGAGATGGGACAACTCAGTTTGACTAAAATACTCCTGTTTTGGAGTCAAAAGGTTCTCATCCTGTGCGATGTACAAGATTATATATATATAAATAATCACATATAGTGATTTTGCTAGTAGTGTGAAAAAAGTATTTATTTGAATAGCTCACGAAAAAAGTAAAATGAACTGAACTTTGAACTGGTTCAGAAAAGCTGTGAACTGGCACAACACTGGTGAAATTAAGGGTGAGGGGGTGAGAGTGAGGGTGAGTGGGGGTGAGGGTGAGGGTGAGAGAGACGGGGTGAGTGGGGGTGAGAGTGAGGGGGAGGGTGGGGGTGAGAGAGAGGGTGAGAGTGAGGGGGTGAGAGAGAGGGTGAGAGTGAGGGGGTGAGCGTGGGGGGTGAGAGTGAGGGGGAGGGTGAGGGGGGTGAGTGGGGGTGAGAGTGAGGGGGTGAGTGGGTGAGTGGGGGTGAGTGGGTGAGAGTGAGGTTGAGGGGGTGAGTGGGTGAGAGTGAGTGGGTGAGAGTGAGGGGGTGAGTGGGTGAGAGTGAGTGGGTGAGAGTGAGGTTGAGGGGGTGAGTGGGTGAGAGTGAGTGGGTGAGAGTGAGGGGGTGAGTGGGGGTGAGTGGGTGAGAGTGAGGTTGAGGGGGTGAGTGGGTGAGAGTGAGTGGGTGAGAGTGAGGGGGTGAGTGGGTGAGAGTGAGGGGGTGAGAGTGAGGTTGAGGGGGTGAGTGGGTGAGAGTGAGTGGGTGAGAGTGAGGGGTGAGTGGGGGTGAGTGGGTGAGAGTGAGGTTGAGGGGGTGAGTGGGTGAGAGTGAGTGGGTGAGAGTGAGGGGGTGAGTGGGGGTGAGTGGGTGAGAGTGAGTGGGTGAGAGTGAGGGGGTGAGTGGGGGTGAGTGGGTGAGAGTGAGGGGGTGAGAGTGAGGTTGAGGGGGTGAGTGGGTGAGAGTGAGTGGGTGAGAGTGAGGTTGAGGGGGTGAGTGGGTGAGAGTGAGGGTTAGGGGGTGAGAGTGAGGGGTTGCTGACAGAGATATGAACAGACTCATGTGAACTTGGTTAGAAAAAACAAAGTACAAGAATGATTGAATTCCGTCCAATGTATTTGTGCCTCTAAACCAGAGTATTCACCAACAACAGATCAGAGAATCAGACTAACAATAATGAACACATGGAGCCAGTGGGAGTAACGTGTCCACAAATGTAACTAACGATAATGAACACATGGAGCCAGTGGGAGTAACGTGTCCACAAATGTAACTAACGATAATGAACACATGGAGCCAGTGGGAGTAACGTGTCCACAAATGTAACTAACAATAATGAACACATGGAGCCAGTGGGAGTAACGTGTCCACAAATGTAACTAACGATAATGAACACATGGAGCCAGTGGGAGTAACGTGTCCACAAATGTAACTAACAATAATGAACACATGGAGCCAGTGGGAGTAACGTGTCCACAAATGTAACTAACAATAATGAACACATGGAGCCAGTGGGAGTAACGTGTCCACAAATGTAACTAACGATAATGAACACATGGAGCCAGTGGGAGTAACGTGTCCACAAATGTAACTAACGATAATGAACACATGGAGCCAGTGGGAGTAACGTGTCCACAAATGTAACTAACGATAATGAACACATGGAGCCAGTGGGAGTAACGTGTCCACAAATGTAACTAACGATAATGAACACATGGAGCCAGTGGGAGTAACGTGTCCACAAATGTAACTAACGATAATGAACACATGGAGCCAGTGGGAGTAACGTGTCCACAAATGGAGCTTTCGCGAAAGTTCACCGTGGTAGACCCGGCTGTTGCTGCCAGGCCACAGGCTGCTCTTCCTCGACTCATCAATACCAGCAACGCCCACACCCAGTCAACCAATAACCACCAGGACAGCAAGTTAAAAGCCGGAGACGCCCACTTCCCGATCTTCTGAAGTCTGCAAACTTCTGAAGCCTGCAAGGTGCATGTCGCTAACGCACCTGTTCGCAAATGCATGCGTGGTTCTGGAGGGGTCGCTTCTGCTCACGTGTTGCTCGTGCGCGTGGCCCGGCTGTCCTCAGTCTGGCTGCTCGTGGTCTGCTCCTCCTCCGCGTCCCTGCACCTGCTGTGGTTCGCATATCCCCACTGCTCTCCTCCTCTGCGGGCTCTTTCTGCGGGCTGCTCCGCGGGGCCCCTCCGCGGTTCTGTGCTGCTCGTTCCTCGTGGTCTGCTGCCGCGCGCAGACGGTCTGGCGGTGCCGTGCATGTCCCTGCCTCCGACTGGCGGTGCCGCGTTGTCCCGTTGCTTTCCCAAGTCTCCTGGCATGCTCTTAAACAACCGTGGGCATGGTTCTCTGACCGCCGCTGCTGCGGTCCCTGCTGCCGTTCCTACTGATGCCTGATCCCGCTGCTGCCTATTCCTGCTGCTGCCTGTCCCTGCTGCCTGCTCCTGCTGCTCCTACTACTACATGTGCCGCTGCTGCGGTTCCTGCCGCTGCCGCTCCGCAGGCTCCCAGGCTGCACCTGTCTCTACGGCTCGGCTCTTCAGACACGTACGTAACCTGGCTCACGGAGACAAGCGGCGCACGCTGGCGTGACACGTCTGTTGTTCGTATGAATTGCATTGTGCTGCTGCTGCTTGCTGCTTCTGCTGCCGCTACTGCTGCTATTGCTGCCGCTGCTGCTTCATACTGCATCTGCTGCCGTGCTGCTGCTGCTTCTTTACTTTGACACCTCTCTTCACTGCGCATCTCTTTTACTGAAACACTAAACAGCTTCAACTATATTCTACTGCGGTGGCTTGATACAGGATTATTGCTGTTATTATCTACGGATGCTGCAACCGCTGCTGCTGCTGCTGCTTCATGCTGCTACCGTTACTGCTGCTACTGCTGCCGCTGCTGCTTCATACTGCATCTGCTGCCGTGCTGCTGCTGCTTCATGTACTTGACATCTCTCTTCACTTCGCATCTCTTTTACTGAAACACTAAACAGCTACAACAATATTCTACTGCTCTGGCTTTGATACAGGATTATGGCTGTTATTATCTACGGATGCTGCAACCGCTGCTGCTTCATACTGCTACTGCTGCTACTGCTAATGCTGCTTCTGCTGCTTCATACTGCTACCGTTACTGCTGCTGCTACTGCTGCGCTGCTGCTGCTGCTTCATGTACTTTGACATCCCTCTTCACTTCGCATCTCTTTTACTGAAACACTAAACGGCTACAACAATATTCTACTGCTCTGGCTTTGATACAGGATTATTGCTGCTATTATCGACGGATGCTGCAGCTGCTGCTGCTTCATACTGCTACTGCTGCTGCTGCTTCATACTGCTACTGCTGCTGCTTCATACGGCTACTGCTGCTACTGCTGCTGCTTCATTTACTTTGCCATCTCTCTTCACTTCGCATCTCTTTTACTGAAACCCTGAACAGCTACAACAACATTCTACTGCTGTGGCTTTGATACAGAATTATTACTGTTATTTTCTAAGGACGCTGCTACTGCTGCTGCCGCGGCTTGATACAGGACTTTGCTGTTATTATCTGAGGCTACTGCTGCTGCCGCTGCTGCTACTGCTACTGCAACCCATTCTCTCAGAAGCTCATCCTGCTTCTAATGGATGCAGCCCGGCTGAGTATGCCGCGCTGCGCCGGACTCGCACCTATGCTCCCAGGGTCGCTTCGGCGGTCGTGCTTCATCTCTCTACTGAATCTTCTGATTCTATCAGATGCAGCTGGCCAAGTAGCTGCGCTGAGCCGTCAATCGGACTCCTAATCAAAGGCATCCATACCTGGTTCTTCACTCTTCTGATCACAGGCTCCCCATCATGCTGCCCATCCTGCAGCGGCGCTGAACTCCGGCTCATCTTCCAAGTACATGTCTGCCCTCCTCGCAGCATCTTCTGCTCGCCTTCTGTGGCTTCTCTGCATAAGCGTTTCACCACTGCTCACTCAACCTTCAATGCGGTCCGAGACACGGCTTCCCGTCCTATCCTACTGGCCTAATTATCTACTCTCCAACCCAAGATTCTAAGCGTAAAGGCGCCTGCAACATCAATGGCCCTCTCCGGTGTGTCTCTCTGCCCCTACAGGTCTCCGCTTCTACACGGACGCTGCCCCTTCCGTGGGTTTTTGGGGGATTCTTCCAGGACCAGTGGTTCGCCGGCCGTGGCCCGCTACTTTCCCCGGAGCATTTCATCTGCCCTACACGAGACATTCCCAGTGGTCGTGGCCTGCGCGCTGCGGAATCACACGTGGCAGAGAAAGAGGATCTCTGTCATGCGTGATCATCTCGACGTAGTGGAAGCATTAAACAAAGGTCGCTCTTCTCACCCAACATAATGTCCCCTGACCATTCAACCTTCATCTCAAACATTCAAAGATCAGAGGCGCCTGCAACACAATAATAGCTCGCTTCGACACATCTCTCTGCCCCTACAGGTCCATGATGCGTTACACTCGCCTCCGCGGCAAAAAGGAGATTTTAACGGACCTCTAATTCTCACTCCAGTCAACCTTCCCATAACAGCAACCTGGTTCAGAGCTCAGCTAAGATCCCTACTGCTCCTCTGCAATTTGTCTCCCCAGTCTATACAGCCCACTCCTTCAGGATAGGCGCTGCCACGCGCGCGACCTCGCTGGGGCTCCCCCACTCTTTCCTCTGCAACGGCTGGGGCGCTGGTCCTCTTCGGCTTCTCCACCTACATCAGGCCAGATGCGACCGCTATCATGGCAGCACAACGTCTACCGGCTTCCTCGTAAGCTCCCAGCAAAGCAAGTAAGCAATAAGATTCTGGTGGCGGCACGCACTTTCCTCAAACGCTCAAAGATTCCTTGCTTCAGCGTCTGGCTGAATATGAGCGTGCGCTCATATTCTCAGTTCGCTCAAAGATTCCTCTGCTGCGGCTGGCTGAACATGCGCGTGCGCGCATGTTCTCAGTTCGCTCAAAGATTCCTCTGCTGCGGCTGGCTGAGCATGCGCGTGCGCGCATGCTCTCAGTTCGCTCAAAGATTCCTCTGCTGCGGCTGGCTGAACATGCGCGTGCGCGCATGTTCTCAGTTCGCTCAAAGATTCCTCTGCTGCGGCTGGCTGAGCATGCGCGTGCGCGCATGCTCTCAGTTCGCTCAAAGATTCCTCTGCTGCGGCTGGCTGAACATGCGCGTGCGCGCATGTTCTCAGTTCGCTCAAAGATTCCTCTGCTGCGGCTGGCTGAACATGCGCGTGCGCGCATGCTCTCAGTTCGCTCAAAGATTCCTCTGCTGCGGCTGGCTGAACATGCGCGTGCGCGCATGTTCTCAGTTCGCTCAAAGATTCCTCTGCTACAGCGGCTGGCTGAACATGCGCATGTTCTCAGCTCGCTCATGCTCTCAGGCCCGCGCAGTACGTCCTGCTATCCCAATCGCAAGCCCGCTTTTTGGGGATCATGCACGCGAGCAAGCGCCGTGCTCAACAGCATCCCGCCCGGGCCTAGGGCGCCAAACATGCTCAATCAATAAACATGCTTAAATCTAATAAGTCTAATGCGTTTCCTCATGGGTCTCTCCAAGGTGAAATGGAGCTTTCGCGAAAGTTCACCGTGGTAGACCCGGCTGTTGCTGCCAGGCCACAGGCTGCTATTCCTCGACTCATCAATACCAGCAACGCCCACACCCAGTCAACCAATAACCACCAGGACAGCAAGTTAAAAGCCGGAGACGCCCACTTCCCGATCTTCTGAAGTCTGCAAGCCGCCGCCGCCCCACCTCCTCCTTCTCGCATGAAGCGTGTTGCCTACTGCCTCTGCCGTCACCAGTGCCTAGGCCCCGGGGGGATCATGCACGCGAGCAAGCGCCGTGCTCAACAGCATCCCGCCCGGGCCTAGGGCGCCAAACATGCTCAATCAATAAACATGCTTAAATCTAATAAGTCTAATGCGTTTTCCTCATGGGTCTCTCCAAGGTGAAATGTAACTAACAATAATGAACACATGGAGCCAGTGGGAGTAACGTGTCCACAAATGTAACTTAACAATAATGAACACATGGAGCCAGTGGGAGTAACGTGTCCA